CCAGATAATATCCTGCCAAAAACTCTTGTAAAATTAAAAATAAAATAAATGATCCACCGTTTCAAGATCAATACCATTACAGGGATAAAATCTCTGAGAGATAGGGATCTTTTGAAATCTACCATATAGCATATTTGATGGCAACACATTTAATCTGGCTTTTGAAAGAGCTATTCTGTATTTTCTTAAATGTAAACTATTAAGATAGGTAGGGAGCTAAAAATATATATTTGTAATTAATTCCAAAAGTTACAGGTGAACACAGCACTTTGCTTTTGCCATTAATTCCTGTACTGAATTATCCCATAATCTTCATTTAACACAAAAAAAGCTGATGCCATAGCCCTGGAAAACAAATAATCTGGTTCAGTGCCGATCTAGTTAATCTTTTGGGTCACCCGTTTACACCACCATCTACCAAAGAATCATTTGGGATTTCATGAAGGAATCATTCCTTAAAAAAAAAAAAAAATCATATGTTTGCAACTGTACTTAACCAAGCCTTTGTTTTTAAAGGGCATTGCCCATTTTCCAGGAGAACAACAGCATTTGGAACACAACTTGGAACATTTAAAAGAGATCTTCAAATATTCACCTGCAGTTGAGCTATGTTCTTATTGACAAACGTAATCCAAATTAGAGTTCTATATAAAATTTGAGGTGCAATTTTTGCATTAAAAACATGTATTGCTGCAGGAACAAATCTCCTCACCCTTTTGAATAAAAATATTTAAGCAAGCCATCATAATGGATTTTACTTTCAGAAATATTGCCTTGCAATGAAATTGCCAGGATGGAGCATGATTAAATAAAATGCCCAGATCACTAAATTTCTTCAGTTGTGTTATCATATGATCTTGAATTTTCCAGATGCCCTTTTTGTTTTTTGTTTAAAAAAAAAAAAAATTTAGTTTTATCATAGTTGATTTGTAATTGATTTTCTTGGCAATACTTAACTAGTGCCTGAAGTAGGCGTTTCAAACCTAACCTAGTATGTGAAAGAAAAATAGCATCATCAGCATATAACAAGCACACATTTTCCTTTTGGCTACTAATGGGCACTGCCCATCAACCTGAAGCAATATAGTCTCCAGATCACTGACACAGATATTAAATAGTGTGGGGGCTATTAGTGTGGGGGCCAGAATACAACCTTGTCTCGCACCTTTGTTCATTATTAAGTCACCTGTAAGTAAACTTTTTCTTTTGCATTTAACCTGCATTATTACTATCTTGATTTAATGTCTGTATGAAACATGTGAGACACCTGTCTTGAACTAAATTCCCTAACGTAGTCCAAAGTTTGGTTCTATTAACAGAATCAGAAGTGACCTTATCTATAAAGGCAGCATATGATTTGCCTTTCAGGAAAATAAAATATTTTCCTGCCAGGTAGGCTAATATAAAACATTGATCAATTGTTGATCTGCCTTTTCTAAAAACAGCCTAAGCATTTGTTAAAACAAAGTGTTCCTCAGTGTAAGAGGTTAATTTTTCATTTAAATGTCTAGCATAGAGTTTCCTCAGGATTGATAACAAACTAATTGGCCTATGATTGACAGGGTCTTCCATTTTTCCCTTCTTATATAGGGGGACTATTATAGCCCTATTGCAGCCCAAGGGGATTAGACCAGAACTATTTATTACAGTAAATAAGGCCACTAATAAATGTAAATGTTGTTTAAGGAGTTCAAAAGGTATATTAACTTGGCTGGGAGCGTTACCAGATTTTACTTTTGAAATAAGGTCAACAATCTCTTCCTCTGATATTGATTTCCACTGTGAAAGGGTAAGTAGCTTTGATCTGATGTTTTTTGCTATACTCACAATAGGCTGCCCCTGCTCCATAAAAATTGACTTGCAATATTTTTTACAGATCTTAGATAGTATACAGTAATCTGGGACTGAGGGAACAGTGAAAGTCCTGGAAATTAAATTCCAAAAGGTTTTAGAATCTTTGTATAGAGAAGTATTTATTAATAATGATCAGAAGTCTCTCTCTGCCTTGTTTCTTCTGGCATATCTTATAGTTTTTCTTCAATTCATAATAACTTAAAAGGGGCTGCTGTAAATTAGACTTTTTGTATGCTAGGTATAAAGCTCTTAATTTCTTCTTAGTAGGGGTACAACCAACATCAGACCAGCTGGAAGTAGTACTCAGCCAAGTATTTCTTTGATTTGATGTAGTAGATGCTTCAGATTTTAAACTTTTACTGATGAAATTTGTTAGAATGTTAAAATAATTTATTTTTATTATACATGATCTAAAATTTAAAGCTTGAGTAGAGTTTAAAAGTGTAACTAAGTAATTATTTAAATGTTCTGCCCCCAAAAATCTTGCATTTGTAATTGCCTTTGTGAACATTGGGAGAATAACACTGAGTCAGACAAACATCATTATCATTGGTTGTTGTTGTTTTTGGAGCCTTTGAGACAGTCTTGACTCCTGGCGACTGCCTGGACAAGGCCCTGCAGTTTTCTTGGCAAGATTTCAGAAGTGGTTTGCCATTGCCTACTTCCTAGGGCTGAAAGAGAATGACTGGCCCAAGGTCACCCAGCTGGCTTTGTACTTAAGATGGGACTGGAACTCACAGTCTCCCGGCTGGACAAGGCCCTGCAGTTTTCTTGGCAAGATTTCAGAAGTGGTTTGCCATTGCCTACTTCCTAGGGCTGAAAGAGAATGACTGGCCCAAGGTCACCCAGCTGGCTTTGTACTTAAGATGGGACTGGAACTCACAGTCTCCCGGTTTCCAGCCTGATTCTTAGCCGCTACATTATAGGTTGCTGATCACTATCTGATCTCAGGCTGATATTAAATTATCTAAGTAGATATTAAACAATAATCTGTGATATTTGCTCCCCACCCAGAAGTAAACATGAACTCACTAGGATGATCATGGTGCATTGTACCATTTAAGATTAAGTTTAGCTTATTACAAAGGCCAGCTAAACAAGAGCCCACATAGTTGATGTTCTGATCTTTAGACTGTTTGTCATACAATCCACTTGCCCAAGTTTTGGCAGATAAGTAAGAGAACTTAGTTATCAGCACTTTGTTATTAGGGCCAATTCTGGCATTTAAATCACCCAGAATCACAAAATATATATGATGGAATTTTAAAAGCAGATTGTATATATATTGTTCCAATTCTATCCAAATATGTTTGATTTGGGAGCTTGTTTTAACTGGTGGAAGATAAATATTTATTATTATTAAAGTGTTTTAGTTTTAATTGGACTGTGCCAGCATATTGTTCATAGTGCCCTACTAAGGATATCTCTGCCTTTAAAGCACTTGAGGCAAGGATTGCTAAACCTGCATTGTTATGCCCTTTCTTGGAAGTTCTAATAGCCTTTATAATGGATAGGGTAAAACCCTGAAAATGAAAATGATTGTGCACCCAGGTTTCCTGTAACAGAGTAATATCAAAATCGCTTCAATATCAAGTAAAATAAATATCATTATACTTATTAAATCAATCAGCAATATTTCAGGAAATTATTTTCAAAGTGGAATGCTCAGGACTATATTCCGAAAATAGTCAATCTTCAACATCAGTGTGATTTAATAATCCTTCCTTGTCAAAAATGGCACAGCAATTCCTGCTTCTAGAATTATTCACCAGCAAGCTTTGGATAAACTTGGGATCTTCACTTGCAAGGGCCACTAGATTATCTGAGTTACCGCCTAGTTCATTGGCCTCTATCTCATGTGTTGCCAATTTGAAGCAGACTCAATATTAAATCTGTTCTGCAAGTGCTTTGTTTCTCTCGTTAACCAATTTGATTCCATGGCAGAGACAAACATTACATTATTACATTTTGATGTTTGATTTGCTTAGTTAATTATTTTCCCTGATGGTTTGGCTAGCTGGTCTTTAGGTTTGTAGGAATGGTATACAGTTGGCTGTATTTTGTAGAAACAGGATAATATGATAATTTTTTTATGAATAAAATTCTTGAGTTCAAATATGCTATCCACCATTTCTAGTGTCTTGAATATAACAATTATCCTTGCTTTAAAATAATTAAAAAGTAAGTAAGTACTAAACCTTACTGATCATATTTATAGCAATTGATGGAATTAAATGTTGAATCAGTTGAACAAAATGCAATTTCTGTTCCAAATGAGATAACATTCCTTTTGGTTTTGGGAAATTTGTGAAAACCAATTTATTGGGCACAGGTTTAGGGTTCCAGGGTATATTAAACAACTTAGTAATGGCATTCTTACATTTACAGCATCTGGAGTTAACCCATAGTTGAATCTTCCAACATTAAAGGGCATAAACATTGTTTTGCATCAATGGTTATTTGAGTTTGACAAGCAGTTTACTTTTTCCTCTTGTCACAAGGTTCATTTGTCACTGAGCTGGCGCTTAAACTGTTATCATTTTTATGATCTATAGTTAAAATCCTCCTTGATTTCTTGCTTAGCTTCTTGTGGTATCTTTCCTTCTTCTCCCTTTTGTTGTTATTGGCTGCATCCATAATATTAAACAGTCTGTTAAATTTTAGCTTCCCAGCCATTTTACTTACTGAATAGTTATTTATATTTTTACTTTTTTTCTTCTGCTGTCCTTGTTTCAATTTAAACTTTTTAAATAATGTATTTGGGTCAGAATCATTTGGGTTTGAGTTTTCTTTTGTGAAACTAGTAGTTTACTTGTTAATTTTGAGCATTATAAAAAGTTATTTCTTTTTTCTGACCCTTTAGCTGTGTCACATGTCTCCACCATTTGTTCAGTCAGTTTAGTGAGAGTAAACAAAAGGTCCTTTAACTCAATTAAAAAGTTTTTGATTAAGGGAAATTCCACATACCATTTCATACTTAATTTATTAATAGATTCCTGCAATTTCTCCAAAATATCCAACACTGAGTAGGAGGTTGTCTGCTGTGAATAATTCCAAATCTAGTTGGCAACAGTGCATTGTGAAAAGATAAGTTCCTTTTATTTGTTGTCATATCATTCTTTTCCCAATCTGTAAACATTATCATTTATTGGGGTGAGTCTTTAGCTGAGCTCACATGCTCTTGATTATCAGCAAGAGCAAGCTCTTCAGCAAGATTCACCCCAGTTTCATTTATTTTTTGCTGAAATAGGGGAGGAGGACCTAAGGACCAGTGATGAAATGTTAATGTGACCTCAGTGTCCTTGGTCAAATCTCAACTATTTGCAGTTTCTTGGAAGATAAAAAAAATCAGTAATTTTTAGTTGTCTCTGTTGTGAGTTACTTAACCCAACTTCCTGTATTAAAGGTTGCAAACCAAGTTGTGCATAGCCTCTATGAGTGAAAACCATTATATACAGAAAATTGTAACAACTCTTATCTCTTAATTTGTTTTAGCATAAACATATGAAGCAACCATTATTAGTTCTCAAAAGCTTTCTAGACTTTAATCAGCATTTTTTTATAGTACCTTAATGTTTATTGTAGTAATGTTATCTTCTGAGGTTGGAGTTAGGGCGACTCCCTCAGCTTTCTTCAACTAAAATTGCCTTTAATCACCTCCTTTAACATAAAATTGGCCAGAAGTATAAAAGTGGAGACTTTTTTCTCAGAGGAGCTATTGGAATAATCAGCTTCACACATTGCCATCTTAACCCAAATTTGGCATTAACTGATAGATAGGAACTGAGGATAGCACATGCGACAATTCTGAGAGTATAACATGGATATATCTGAATGCATGCATCTAAGCATTGTTTTTTAAAGGGGTAACTACTTTGATAACTGGTAGGCTGGCTGGGGAATTCTGAGGGTTGAGGTCCACGCTTCTTAAAGTTGCCACCTTTGAAAAATACTGGCTTAAATGAAGTTTCATCCCTCCATATGAAATTCCAAACTTCTAAATATAATTTTCCTTCAAAAAATATTTTTTTACTCTTTCAGCAATTTTGCTCAGATAGATATTTCAACTATTTAAAACTTCTTAACCATAATTGTCCAAAACAGGAAATATTTTTATTATTGTTGTTATTAATACTTATAATTTTGCAAATTAATTCTTTTATCTAAGAATGGCACTTCATATCATGAAAGGAAATACATTATCTTTTTAAAATATTTTAAGATTTTTTAAAATTTATTTGATATCTATTTTTTGTAGCAAAGAAATTTTTAATCTTAAAAAAAGAACTTAAAAAATTAAAAATACAAACTTAAAATACAGACTAAGAAGGAAAAAAAATATGTTTTATATTTTATACTTATCAATAGTCACTGGTTTACCAATGAATTCACTACTATAACAGAAACAATACAAAATATTATTGTAAGATGTAGAATGTCTGCCATAATAATACATATTGCTGCATCCTTTGATTGGTAGAAAATATCGCCTTTTCCAAAACAGATAGATCACACATTTTCCCCAAGGACTCCACAGATCACATATTTTCAACAACCATTCCTTGACATGGGGAATAATATCACTTTTCCAATTTCTTAATATAATTCTTTTTGTCACCCCCAAGTTTGATACAACCACAATTCCTGATCAACAGTCAAATTACAAATCTTTGGTATATAATTCAACATTACATTAGCATCTTTAACATTTAAAGATTTTCCCATAAATCTACTAGTATACATTAATAAGCAATCCCCAAAAGATACTAAATGATCACATGATCGTATCATGTGGATCAGTGAGCCTTCAAATTTCTTATACCTCCAGCATCAAACATCTGACATTCATCCTTTCAAATACATTATTTGGGGAGTCCAATACATCCTAAATACAATTTTTTGATGAATCAATCTTAATCTCAAATCTGTAGATACCATGTGATCACTTTTAAGGACCTGAAGCCATTGTTGTAACTTTATCAGAAATTCTAGTTCTTTACTCTATATTTGAAATATCCCAGAAATGTCCACTTTAAAAATATTCTTGAGCTTTTGATAGAGGTATGTTGTAAGGAAATATATTATCTTACCTTTATTGCAAAATCTTTTTGCAGAACAAAGTAAACATTGAATTTGTCAGAGTAAGTGATGATCCTTGCCAAATTGAATTGATACTTTTGAAAATTCATTTCTCTTTTAACTAAAATATTAAAAGAAACATTATGATTAAAAGACTGAATTTAATAACAAATTCAGTCTTTTAAATGAATAGATAAACTATTTTCTCAAAAATAATTAACTACTTGCCTATGAAGACACTAATACTTGTGTTTCTAAGTTGGCTATAGCAGAAGAGAAAACTATTGGATAGTAAACATAGAAATGCAACTAGCAACTAACCTTTTTAGCAGTCTGGTAAATAAATTATTGTCTTCTACCAAGAACACAAACAGAGATACAAAGGAATAATCTAGTTCTCTATCAACTTGTGTGTATAGCTTATAGTCCACTCTCCCTAGTAAGATAACTTAAATCAGTAGAAAACACATATACCAACTTAATGCATAAATATAATTAATTTGCATTAATCCTACCTCATTTTGACTCAATGTTTTAATAATTAAATTAATGTGTTTCCAATAATCCTGGAAAGCTTCCAATAATGGGTAGAAAACTTATTTTCCAAAAGGGCTCAAAAATTCAGGAAAAAGCAAAAACATTCCATTGTAAAAATATTAAAAAGCACTAAGAACTCAATAGAGAAATGAAGCAAAAGAGAGTGAATATCAAAGTATTAAATATAATACTAGTATAAAGTTACAGTGGACATACTGGAGTCATGTAATAGGTACATCTCAACAAACAAAATATGCAAAATGAAATGGAAGTCCATCTATAGATTCACCTCACCAGTACAATTAGAAGGAATCAAATCTAAACTGAAAAATCCTCTTCCATCGATCAGCACCAGTTTTTTACTCCTGTTGTTATAGGTTGCTACAAAAGAATGTGAAAAGGAGTGTTTTTAGATCGCACCTCCAAACAAAAATTCTAGCTTTGTTTTGTATAAAAAGCACAATGAGATGAAAAACAGAGATGGCAATAAAGATAAAGCCTGCTGAGTTTTACCCCAAGCTCTTCTCAGGAGATGTTCCTCTGCAGAAAAAGAGGAAGAGGCAAACGTTGCCAAATTACTATCCTCCCTTCAGTCATTACTGCCACTTCCTGACGCTGTTCCATTGAGTCCTCCTATTCTCAAGAGCAAGTTGGGAGTGGTGGAGGACAGGGGTCCAGGAAAGAATATGGCCTTCAGTAATTCAAAACTTCTGTGGAACTCCTCCGTTTTTTTTAAAAAAGCAAAGACTAAATAAAGGCAACGATGTTTCTGCTGCAGATTTGAGTCCAATGGGACGGGCTCTTCAGCACCTCATGCCTTCCAAATGATAAGGGGACAGTGGAATAAAGATAAAGGGTTAAGGATTTACTTTGTGTCCCCTCTTTGCTAATCGCTCTAGCTGCTTTTTGATTAGAAGATTGCTTATCTGAGACCATTTCCTTTTCTCTTTCTTCCTAGGCACTCACACATGTGTACATGTAGGATATTGTGTACCAGGGGCTGGGATTGGCCTATATTGATAGGTATAAAACCTGTTTCACTAATCCTGGCTAAGATTAGATCCCTGCTCTCTCTAATGCTCACACGTGCACACAGAACTCTTCAACTTCCAACAGTTTCTCCAGACATTTTTTTAAATAAGTAACATTTATTTTCTCTTACCTCCTACTATATCTAAACCTTGATAAGGTAAGCTTTTAATAAAAACAAAGCCAAAGGTAAGATAGCTAGTACTTCTTGCTGTGACTCTGAAACGGGGAAAAAAAATCAAATGTTGGAAGCACGCTGAAACAGCTTTCAAAAATATTATTGAAAACATATACATAAAATAAAACATTATAAGAAGAAAATCGTATCTGGAAGATATCTAATGATCCCCACATAATTGAAATCCACTTTATTTTTTCTCTGTATACTTAATTTTAGACAACATATAGGAAAATGCAAGAAATAAAATAGTCCTTTATTCATTTATCACATTTATATATTATGACATATGATATCTGAATAAATAATCAATATACTATAATTTGGTAGACAATGACAAACTGCAAAAAAAAAAAAAAATCCTACAAGAGAAAAACTCATCAACTAAGAATCTTAATAAGCTTAATAGTAAAGATTAAAAGGAAAGCTACGTTTTAATAAAATTAGATGCTATTTCAGGTAGATTCCATTGTGCATATACTTACAAATGTGTTGAATCTTTTAAAAGTAACTTCTCTTCAGCATGCACTTCATCTTGAAAAGTTAATCTTCAAAACAATAAAGATTTGAATTAACTAAGGAATTGTTAGTAGATGTAAGAAAAGTTAGTAAATTTTTAAAAAATTAGTACAATTTTTTAAAAAAATATACTAAAACCCTCTATTACTATGATAGCATGCAGAGTTTACCATAATGGCAAATTTTCAAACTAAACAGCAGAGTTTGAACATTGGTCGTGACATTGTCCCATGGAACAGGGCTGATATATTAAGTGGAACCCTGAGCAAATGTTGCAAGATTCAGGGCTTCTGTTCAAAATTCCCAACATCCAATCCCCTCCCTGCTCCCCCCCCCTTTTTTTTTTTCTTTTTTTTTTTTTTTTTTT